TCACTCTTTTTATTTTTCATCCATACTTCAATTATTTTTCCAGTATTTTTTTCGAGTTTTTTTTTCATTTTTCGTTCCGCCTATATTAAACTTTTGCGTCAAAAATAATTACTACGTTTCGTGTCTATTCATTCTCACACGCACACACACGCACACACACACGCACACACACACGACACACACATAACAACATTAATAACAACAACAACAGCAGCAACAACAACAACAACAATAACAACAACAATAATAATAATAATTGACGGATAGTAACAAATAATTATAACAAATAACAACACCAATAACAGATAATAATCTCAATAACAACTGATAAGACTAATAAATCGTATTTCGATTCAAATTATCTTTTCCAGTGCCTACACTGGAATATTCTTGACACGCCATTCTGCCTGCATCCTGGTCTATCTCAACCCATACACATCCACCACCGTAGCACTCCATACACAAACATTTCCTCTCCATTTAAAAACGCATTTGCACTCGGATTCTACTACTACTACTGCTGCTGCTGCTACTACTACTACTGCTACTGCTGCTGCTGCTACTACTACTACTGCTACTGCTACTACTACTACTGGTAAATATCACCAACATATACACATACAAATAAATTTTTTGGTATATAAATACTACAAGTATATATATATATATATATATATATATATATATATATATATATATATTCGTTTGTTCGCTCGCTTGTTTGTTGGTTTGTTCGTTCGTTTGTTCGTGCATTCGCAAAAAAGCTAGATGAATGTTTGAACAATTGAATTAACAAATGAACGAGCCAACAATGAATATGAATAAAGGAATGAATGAACGAACGAACAAATGAATGAATGAATGATTGAATGATGGAACGATAGTTTGGCCCGGATATTTAAAAGTGTGATAGTGTGGCATTATATCTCTGAATAGCATAGATGAATGAATGAATGTGTGAATGAATGAATGAACGTGTGATGTGATATGTTCAACTGCAAAGATCAACTAATTGATAAATGTTTAGATGGATAGATTGATGGATGGATTGATAGATAGATAGAAGATGTACGAATGAATGAATGAATGATAGATGTATATATGGATAGATAGATAGAAAAATATATATACAAATGCATAAATGAACAAACGAACGAACGAATAAATAAATAAAAGAATGATTGAGTGAATGAATGAATGATTGAATGATCGAATGAACGAGCGAACGAATGAATGAATGAAAATTGTCATATAAATTGATAGCGCAAGTGACTGAATGATTAAAATATCGAGTGAATAAATGGATAAACGAATGAATGAACGAAGGAACCACGAAAAGAAAATAAATGAAAAAAATTAATGAGTGAGTGAGTAAAAAAATGACTAAAAAGAACGACTGAGTGAGTAGAAAGTGGAGGAATGAATTGATGGCATGTCTCAACATCACTTCCAAATTTTAAATTGAATTTGTCAATTTGCTTTCGCGCTCTCCTTCCATTATTATTATTATTATTATTATTATTTTTATTATTGTTATTATTATTACTATTATTATTAAGACTATTTTATTCTTATTTGTGTCATATTTTATCGTTATTATTATTATTATGTGTTGTTGTTGTGATTATTATTCGTTTTACCCTTCTCTCTCCCTTCCTCTCTCTCTCTCTTTTTTTCTCTCTCTTTCTCTTTTGCTGCTATCGTGCTGATGGGTATCGTGTTTCAAGTGGCTGATGAAGCTGTTACCATGTTTCTAAAAACATTCATCCATTTGGCTATCCATCCATCCGTCCATCCATCCATCCATGCACCCATCTTGCCATCCATTCATTTTGTCATCCATCTGCTGGTAGAAATAATGATGATGACGACGACGACGATGATGATGATATTGATGATGGTGATGATGATGACGTAGATGGTGACAATAATGACAATGATTATGATGATGATGATGGCAGTGACAATGATGAGGAAGATGATGATAATGATGAGGAGGAGGAGGAGGTGTAAGAGGAGAATGATGAGGAGAATGATGTTTCGATAGTTCTACAACAGCAACTAGACAGCACATGTTCGTGCCAGTCCTAATTGCGCAACTCTTAGGTAACTGTAGTAATTCAAGTATTTATAAGTATTTGAAAGCAGCAGCAGCAGTAATATTATTATTAGTAGTAGTAGTAGTAGAAGTAGTAGTAGTAGTAGAAATAGTAGTAGTAGTAGTAGTAGTTGTTGTTGTTGTTGTTGTAGCAGCAGCAGAAGCAGTAGGGAGTAGTAGGAGTTGTTGTAGCAGTAGCAGTAGTAGTAGTCGTCCCAAAAGTAGTTGTCGTTGTCGTTGTTGTTGTTGTATTTGTACTACTTTCCAAACCTCTTTCTTAAGTGTTGGCATGAATAAAATTAGTTTTAATTATTGAGAAAGTTGAAATTTCTAAGGAGAAGGGTTTGTTTGAACACATTTGATACCCCCCTTTTGAGCCCCTAAAGAAGGCTGTCCCGACAGCTTGAAAACCCCTGTAACATTCAATGTTTGGTATGTTAAATTTGTTATTTGACCGTTGTTTTGTAGTATTTTTAGTCTATTTTTTCTAATTGTTTTGATAGTTTTAGTGATGGAAATCCCCGCGTAACCGGTTCCATGTAGCACGATGTTCCATTTTATTGTATAATTATGGTTATTTATCGCTGAGAATGTATTATGTAATTATATGTATTTAAGAGTTGGAATTTGAGTATGTCTGTGTAATGTTTGTGTGTGTGTGTGTGTATGTTTGTGTGTGTGTGTGTGTGTGTGTGTGTGTGTGTGTGTAGTCACGACGCCTAACTATTACACAAAAAAATTTTTCCAAGCCAGATTTGTCAAAGCTATAAATTATAGAATTTCTCTTTTTTTCGTATTTTGGTTCAGGAGCAGTTATGGATAGTATTTTTTTTTCATTTTTTACTTTTTTTTAAAAGTAGTACCTATTTGAGATCTGTCAAGAGTACAAAAAGTATAGTAAAATTACATCAACTTAACTGCGTGTTTCTCTGACTGCTTCTACTACTGCTGCGGCTGTTGCTGCTGCTACTACTGCTACTACTGCTACTACTACTACTACTACTGATGCTGCTGTTGTTGCTGCTACTGCTGCTGCTGATACTACTGCTATTACCACTACTGTTAAATATCACCAACATATACACATACAAATAAATTTTTTGGTATATAAATACTACAAATATTTACATACACATATATATATTCGCTGTGTATAAATATGACTAACATATTCATAAATACATGCGTTTTTGGGCACAAATATCATTGACACATATACGCATATTCATTTGTTGGGTATAAATACCCGAAATACCCACATAAACATTGCAGGCAAAAGAGAGGCACGCCGTAAATTAATATACCAGAGTATTTGTGTATGTGTTTATTTCAAATGGAAAGAGTTTTTATGTACGAGCCATATATACGATCAATGATTTAGAGTCACACGTACATACGTACACATATACACATACATACGTGCACACATACATACACACATACTTACATACATACATACAGTTAAATACGTTTATATATACATGCATATATACAAAAAAGCAAACATACGTATAGAAACATATAAAAAGCACACACACATACATATGTTTGCTTATATACGCACGCACACATACAGACTTGTGTAATAATAATGCACTCTACTCCTCTTATACAGTTGGAAAAAGAAAAAAACAAGAAATGTGTATGTGTGTGCGC